CTCTCATTCTTCCTATCCTGTACTCTCATCCTTCTCATCTTTTACTCTCATTCTTCTCATGCTTTACTTTCATTCTTCTCATCTTGTTATCTCATTCTTCTCATCTTGTACTCTAATTCTTTTTATCCTGTACTCTCATTCTTCTCATTCTGTACTCTCATTCTTCTCATCTTGTACTCTCATTCTTCTCAATCTTTTCATCCTGTATTCTCATTTTTCTCATCCTGTACTCTTATTCTTCTCATTCTTTTCATCATGTACTCTTATTCTTCTCATTCTCATCCTGTGCTCTCAATCTTCTCATCCTGTACCCTCATTCTTTTCATTCTGTACTCTTATTCTATTCATCCTGTACTCTCAATCTTCTCATCCTTTTATCTCATTCTTTTCATTCTGTACTCTCATTCTATTCATCCTGTACTCTCATTCTTATCATCCTGTACTCTTATTCTTCTCATTATTCTCATCCTGTACTATCAATCTTCTCATCTTTATTTCTCATTCTTTTCATTCTGTACTCTTTCTTTTCATCCTGAACTCCCAATCTTCTCTTTCTCTCATCCTGTACTCTCATTCTTTTCTTTCTTTACTCTCATTCTTTTCATCTTCTAAGCTCATTCTTCTCATCATGTACTCTCATTCTTCTTATCCTGTACTCTCATCCTTCTCATTCTGTACACTCATTCTTAGAAAGATGAGTATAAGATAAGAAGAATGAGTTGAAAGGATGGTTACAGGATGAGTACCAGATGAGAAGGATGAGTATAAGATGAGAAGGATGAGTACAAGATGAGTATAGGATGAGAAGAATGGTTACAGGATGAGTACCAGATGAGAAGGATGAGTATAAGATGAGAGGATGAGTACAAGATGAGTATAGGATGAGAAGAATGGTTACAGGATGAGTACCAGATAAGAAGGATGAGTACCAGATAAGGATGAATACAGGTTGAGTATAAGATGAAAAGGATGAGTATAGGATGAGAAGAATGAGCAAAGGATGAGAAGGATGAGTATAGAATGAGAAGATGAGTACAAGATGAGAAGAATGAATACATGATGAGAAGAATGAGTACAAGATGAGAAGGATGAGTACAGGATGAGAAGGATGAGTATGCAGGATTAGAAGGATGAGTACAAGATGAGTATAGGATGAGAGAATGAGCACATGATGAAAGGATGAGTACAGGATGAGAAGGATGAGTACAGGATGAGAAAAATGACCACTGTAAGAAAAAAAATGAAAAGGACGAGTACAGGATGAGCTCAGAATGAGAAGAGGGAGTAGTATCCATGCATATCCTTATGCGTATCCTCCCTCACTAACAAGGGATAATGCAGTAAGCTTTAATCTGTTTAACTATTTATCTTTTACCAATTGTTTCGCGTTATACTGAAGAAGTTGATCCCAAGAAAACATTATATTTTATACAATATTCTAAATTAGTTAACAAAATATCTCTAAACATAATAAAACTGCTTCGAAGTTTGGATTGTAAATGTTCCTCCAGAAAAAATGTTGCCAAATCCAACTTTTGTTTGCTTCAGTGGTTATTATTTTGACAATAACTAATTGGATAAAAAAGATATATTTATATGCTTTCTATAATCTGAAATAATATCAAAATAATGCATAAATTATTTAATATACATTGATAACCAGAAAACTTGGAAATAGGAAGACGACTTCATAGCAATAATTAAGTGCATGCATTTGATGTGTTTATAAAGCAAACATTAAATCCCTAATTAAATGTCTGTTTACACTGGGGTTAAATATGATAAATATATATTGAGAATTTTCCAGGGAACTTTAGGCGTGTTTATGAGGGTGGTTCAGGTGACGCATCAGAAGGATGATGGTGGTGGTGGTGGGAAGGGCTATCAGTATTCCAGAGGGGGGGGGGGTGTCTGGTTGCATGATGATATATTATCAGGAATGACACATATCCCGTCAAAAGTTTAATTTCGTCACAATTCTCTATGAAGGGTGGGGGGGGATCCCATAGATTATGAATCAACTAGTATCATCTACCTTGTTAAAAGGACTCTAATTGTAAATTCAAGAGAACTTCTATTTAAGGAGGGACATCCCAGAATAACTTAACGGTTCCATTTAAATCTTTGACTGATCATCGAGAACGGAGATCTTAGTGTGTACATCTCTTAAATACTGTTTAAAAAGTCGTAAAATTGGAGTGTACGCTAACGTAGTGTGAACTCAACGCGGTTCTTTGTCCAACATGTTTTCAAGAAATTGAATATGAATATCTGTTTATATTCTGCCACTTCTAGAAAGTAAATATTATTATTCCTCAACTATGTATAGATTGCAACAAAGTGTTTAACTATTGTAAACACTATTGCAGATTAATAAGGAAAAATTAAAACTGGAGTCAAATAGCCGTCTTCCTATTCCACAGTTTTTTACGGGCCCCACACTAAAACTGTAGATTTGGTTAATTTAACAATAAACATGTAAAACAGGTTTATGTATACATTTGTATAATATCCAGTTTGTAGTCCCGCTTTTCACTAAATCATCTTTACATTAATGAACAAGAATGAACTGGATTGATGTCAAGAGCGTAGGAGGTTTTATGATAAGATTTTAAAGTATAGTGAGAGACCACAAACAAAGTAGGGGGTTAGGATAAACTAAGCTTTTTCTTGTGTATAACAAAGTAACAAATCTGAGAAAAAAATCTATTTCATCTGCTAAAAAAGTATTTTTAAAAATGTTTTTTCCCCCACTTCCCTCAAGGCTGGAGGTGGGGTGAGGTGTACAGTACCAAAATAACAAAATTTATTGATTTCCACATAAATTCATGTTTTCCCATTCTCCGTGGTAATCTGAGTCAGAATATGAATATAGCTTCAAAACAATATTAAAATCTTATTTAACATTTTGTACCCAATTTTAAAATAAAATTTATAATCAGGCTGAGTTTAAAGTAAAAGCCTATGTTTAGATTTTGTAAACAAGAATAAATAATATTGAAACACTCACATTTAAATAATATTTCCATCGAACTCATTCTTTTCTTTCTTTACTCTCATTCTTTTCATCTTCTAAGCTCATTCTTCTCATCATGTACTCTCATTCTTCTTATCCTGTACTCTCATCCTTTACCAGACATAAAATTAATGCCTTATCCCCCAATATTTCCAACATTTCCCAACGTCCGAATTTAAACCGTTTAGATTCATGAAGTTTTTGTTCAAATTCTTTAAAAATACCGACACACAGGGTGAACAGAAAAATGGCTTGTGACAAGTAAACTAAATATTTCCAACTATGTTAAAGCAAAATAGAACAGAAAAAATACAAAGTTCATCGCACAATGTTTTTTTCGACCAATTTTTTATAGGTTCTGAACAATATTTAAAAAAAATATATATTTCGGCATCTTTTAAGGTTTTCTTATGATAAACTAACATAAATAATTTTTTTTTTAAATATCTGAAGTTGATATCAAAAACAATCCTTAATTTTTCATATTTAAAAATAAAAAAATGTTAAAAAATATTTTTTTCTAAAATTGTTTAGTAAGCTTTTTTTTCGTCTGTCCCTAATATAAATAATGCCATTTGTTTTGTTTGTTACAAAGGCGGGATGAAAAAAATTAAGCCTGGATGAAGACTTCATTGAAATAATATCAAATTCATTTTTGTTTTGTTAAATTCAATTCTTTGTCTCCAAAATTGAAGTTTATTTGTATATAAATTATTTTTTTGAGTTTCCAATAGTAGTCCGGGAAGAATTTTTTAATTTACTAACCTTGTAAAAATCATGTTTCACATTTAGTCTGATGTCCGTTATCACGCTTTATTGCTTGAATGCCTTTGGCAATAAAATATATTCTTCTTATTTTTAAATAAACAACTTTAAATAGTTTAGCGAAATTTAAATCTTATTTTTTTTCTTTCAAAAACGTATCGAGAGGCCGAGTTTAAAGAATTTGAGCCGCGGCTCAAATATGGTTAGTTCCACTTAAAATTATATTCAATTTTTTTAATATTTAAGCCGGCGCTTAATTGAAACCAGTTTTTGGGGGATTTGAGACACGGCTTAAATTCGGACACAGAAAATAATGTACATGATGAATTAACGTAAGCAAATTATCCGTCTCTTATTAGAACTGGAGGAATATACTCCTGACTATGCTCTGTATCATCGTCCTCGACATATTATAAATATATATATATACAAATGTTTGCAATAAAATAAAGTGAACCAAATGCATAGAAAAACTTTTTTGTTGTTGGTTTGTTCAGAAATCGTTTAGAAACTGTTATTCTATTATATTCAAAGTTTCATGAAATATTAGTCTATCGATAAATAAAAAAGTTATCACAAAAGTACAATACCTACTCCAAATCTGACCACTCGTACAAAAATATCAAAGTGGATTTTTCTATTCAAACAATTTTGTAATTAAAAAAGTTTTTCGCAGATTTTTGTTATATATTCTTTGTTTGTCAATAGATTATCATAATATTCTTAAACAAAATTAAAAAATGAAACTGAAATAATTTTTAGGTTAGTTTTTTGTATATGCATTGCAATGCTAGGAAATGAAATTTACAATTGTCGATTAAAAATGAGTTTATCAGGCAAAAAAAATATTGGAAATAAGGAAGGTCTTAACAAAGATTGAAACTACTCCAATTAAACACCCACAGTTTATGATTGATCTTAATTAAAAAAACTAAATAAAAATTAATTGTAAAAAATAATATATTGAGCTAAAATTACACAAAATAAATATATTAGATAATTGAACAAACCAGAAGCATTAAATCCATCACAAAATCTTTATCATCACTAAATTGTAAAACGATTATCAAAAATACGACTTGGTTAACATGGACTTGTGAGATTCCTGTATTTTCGAGACATGGAGCATTTGATCATCTTCATCGGTATCCCTGAAGATAAAGATCTATGTACATAAAGAAAAACATTATCCCATGTACATAACACCAATAAAAGGAAATTCCTAGATTTGTGTACATTAAAAAGTACTCTAGTTGGACAAAAGTATAAATTTCAGTGCTACATGCAGTATGATCGATTATAATAATGATCATTATCATAATTATCATTGACCATCTCAGCTGGAAAAAGGTTAACTGTCAGAAATGCTTGTTTAATAAAATAAAAGTTGTATTTGAAGAGTTAAGACATAGGAGATATCTGGACAGTTTCTCGAAATACGGAATTAGAAAGATTTTACTCAAAAATAAGTGAATAATTATTATGACACTTATGATTATTCAATAACTATAACTTGTTTTACAATAAACTGGTTACGTACATGCATTTCAATACATAGTTAATAAGTTGATTTTCAAACTGCTGGCAAAACTACTTGCTTTAAAGCAACATCACATACACACACCCTCTCACACAAACAAACCCGCATAAATGTCGTCTTCATAGTTTACTGTTTTCTGAGTCTTAGGTGTGACTAAAAAATTAAGCAATAGGCACTGATCATTTTAATGAAACATAAAGACCTTAGAATTTACTTTAATCCATTTTTTCATGATCATTTAATATGGTTCATATTACAGTTCACCAAGGTTTTGTATTGTGCCAGAGTGAAATGTTACCAATGCAGTACAAAAAATCAAATGCACAGACACTTAACTGTATTTTTCAAATAAGTCTTAAATATAGATACATATTTTATAGAATGATGGGTTATCTACTTATAATAATAATAATAAAAATAGGTAGTATCCTCAAGATTGCCTACCATAATATAATGTCAATACAATAAAAATACAATTCCTGTGTTGCATGTTCCTTTCATAGAATTATTTGAGCTGATAAATTCCTAATCTAACTAATACATGTACTAAACCTTTATTTCTCTTTTCAGTATTCAGTGCAGTTATTAGTATTAGTTTATGGAATATCTACCAAATTATTTTCAAAAGTACCATATCCACTGTTATCCTGAGCAGAGGAGATAATATGATCTGGAGCTGGTTGTATTCTAGTACCAGGATACACGTCCTAGATACAAACATGATTAGGTTGACTACGTTGGCATGGTGCTAACTGTATTCTAGTACACGTCCTAGATACACATATTATAAGGGTGACTACGTTTACATGGATACACGTCCTAAATACGAACATGATAAGGGTAAATGCAGTATACCCGGAGAACTGGAGGAATAAACTCCTATCTATGCTCTGTATACTTGGAGGAATACACTCCTAACTATGCTTAGCATACCTAGAGGATTAAACTCCTAAATATGCTATGTATACCTGAAGAACTGGAGGAATATTCTCCTGACTATGCTCTGTATACCTGGAGAACTGGAGGAATATACTCCTGACTATGCTCTGTATACCTGAAGAACTGGAGGAATATTCTCCTGACTATGCTCTGTATACCTGAAGAACTGGAGGAATATACTCCTGACTATGCTCTGTATTTAGAAACAACAAACATAAAAGTAAACCTAAATTACAATTAGCTTTCTCTGGGATATCATCTTTTTCAGATTGGTTGCTGTTTTTCTGAGCATGGTCTGTTTAAACCTACTATTTCTATACGAAATTGTATATATATGCATTTTCGTACAAGTTTGAAACAGCTTTATATCAACTCTCGAGTTAGGAACTTCAGAAAGACGTCTCAAGGGTCTCGATGAAAAGCTTAAGTGATTAGCTTTCAGCCTATACCCCCTTTCATTTTTCCTTTACTGTCCCTTTAATAGGCAAAAAAAACATGGGTTCTCTTGTTTTGTCAGTTTTAACAAGTAAAGGAATATAAATTGAAAAATATTATATTTATATTTTACAATTTAGGAACACTACTTGCAACCTAGTGGTTTATGAATATCGTTTTCAAGCGATATTTTAATGAAAAAGATAAGAGGTTTATTTACTTTTTTGAATTTCAAACTTTTCTAATTAAGGGGGGGGAGGGGGTGTTGCACAAAGCGTTTTACTGTCCGGAGTGCAAACATACATGAACTTAAAAATATGTCTTCTACATACATTTATCGGTTTAAAAAGATCCGAGCGAAAATGCGCACTTTTTCTGAAAACCATTACGGTTTTTTTAATGTTGGTCTTTTGGGGCGAAAATTTTAGTGTCTATTTGTTGTGGGAGTCTCATGATAAAAAGCTCATTTGGTGATGTTAAGATTGATTGATTGTGAAGACTATTTTTTCAGAAAAAGCGCGCGCGCACTTTTGCACGGAACTTTTCAAACCCAAACAATGCATGTGCAATACATATTTTCGAGTTCAAATGAAAAAAAATGTTTTGCACACGGTTTAAATTTTCGGAGAGTTATACGTTTTGTGCCCCCCTACCCCCTTTTTGCATTACTTGATAGGAGAGAGCTTTCTGCAGAAGTTTGACCAGATCTGTGCAGTAAATATATTAATTGTGATCACAAAGAGAACCAAAGCATATTTCGTTCTCGGAGTTATGTTCGAGAAGTCACCAGATCTAAATTCAAAATTTTGTGAGAATTGTAAACAATGTAACTGAAAACTTCAATTTAAACTAGAAAAAAGTTGAGATTCAGAGCATAGCTGTATTTTAGTTCAGACTTGAGAACATTGCTGTATTTTTTGAAATCAGAGCTACAAATTTGTAAAATGGCTGTAAATGGAATCACTTAATTTAAAAAAAATCATATCAAATCAAATCAAATCAAATCAAATCAAATCAAATCAAATCAAATCAAATCAAATCAAATCAAATCAAATCAAATCAAATCAAATCAAATCTGTAGAAATTTCCCGAAAGCATTCAAGTTTCAGAATGGAGTTTCAAGTCCAACATCTGCCAAGCGCTATCCCTTTAACATATTTGTAATTAACCTGAGAATAGAGAATATAACCATAAAGAACTGAAGAAGACCAACACTCATTATAACAAAATTAATTGCTGAAGCGTGAACCTGAATTTAATGTTTTTATTAATAAAATTTTTTTTTTTGATGAAGAAGCAGTTTTGATATCGGAACTACTGTTATCGTTAATCTTGAACGCTTAATCTCAATATCCAACCTGGGCACATTTAAATTTGAGGATAAACACTTGACCACTTAATTCAAGTTATCCCTACAAGGTATAATCACCACGGGTCATGAAAGTGGAATTGATATAACACGTATACTTCACGATATACAGGGTGTCCCACGAAACATGACAGTTGGTGAATAATTTAGAATGTCTTCTTCCATAATTTGTTAAGTTTATTAATACCAAAGACAGTAATAAAAATATTATATCGGAGTCATATTATAGTAAAATTGATTTCAAAGTAAAATATATTTGAGCAAAAGATTTTTTAACGAAATGAACTGCAAAAAGCCTTTAATATAATAATACTTAAAACTATTTATCAACAGTCATGTTTCGTTGAACACCCTGTAGATCAATTGATTTATCCCGAAAACAACACAAATGTTCTGACTACAGTTTTAACCCTGCCAATTAAACTTGCCAGGTCTAACAAATCCCCTTTTTAAAAAGAAATCAAAATTATCTTAGATTTTGTGATTAAAGATATCACCAACACCTTAAGAACGGAGGGGGGGGGAGGGGTGCATATTTGGTGATTAATTAAGAAGCATGAGATAAGATGTACTAAAATTATCCAATATTTACCTTTTTGTTTATCTTGCTAGGAGCGTAAACAAAGGCTAAATTATGTCGGTCTGCAAAGTGTTTAAGTAGAAAGTAAAGACAACCTGAAAAAATAACGTAGTCAAAAAAGAATATTATTTTGTTAATATTTTGACAGATACAAACCGAATGGTGTGATGAGAGGACAGGAGAGTGAGTACATCATAACCATCGCAAATATTAATAGCATTCTTGCATATTGTTCTCCAAACCTACAATATTTTTTTCTTTAGTATTTAGTTCTAGGTGTATAGCGGAACCTTTCGCAAGGGCATACATTTTCTAGATCAAACTATTTTTACCATTTCCTCTCAATTTCCCCGTTTTAACGCTCATACAATGAAAACCAGGAAACTGTGGAATAGGAAGACGACATTAATGCAATAATTAAGTGTAATTGACGTTGTTTCAAAACAAATGGCTATACTAGTAACTTATTAAATGACTTATTAAGTGTAATGGGCCTGTTTACACAATTGCCGTGACTTATGTTAATTGGACTAATTAAAAGTCAAACAATGAGTCTAAAATTCGGCTTACTATTCCAAAGTATTACGGTTTTCTGTACTTAATCTTTATTTAAAACAAATGAGTTTTAAGAAAATAGACGCTTAAAAATGCCCTTGTTAAAGTATCTAAAAAAAAGTTAGATCTTTTTATTAATAATCTGGACATGGTATCAGGTATTTGTTTATTAAACTATTAGAAAACTATAGTTGCCTGAATTCATAAGTGACTGCTCTCTGTATAGCTGGAGTTTCAGCTTTACTTCTTGAGAAACAGAGTTGAACCATGTACCAGAACATTTCGGGAAACCTAAACAGAGTTGAACCATTTACCAGAACATTTCAGGAAACCTAAACAGAGTTGAACCATGTACCAGAGCAATTCAGGAAACCTAAACAGAGTTGAACTATGTACCAGAACATTTCAGAAAACCTAAACAGAGTTGAACCATGTACCAGAAAATTTCAGGAAACCTAAAAAGAGTTGAACCATGTACCAGAATATTTCAGGAAACCTAAAAAGAGTTTAACCATGTACCAGAACATTTCAGGAACCTAAACAGAGTTGAACCATGTACCAGAACATTTCAGGAAACTTAAACAGAGTTGAACCATGTACCAGAACATTTCAGGAAACCTAAACAGGGTTGAACCATGTAACAGAACATTTCAGGAAAACTCAACAAATAGGAGAACTGTTAAAAAAAACTTATTAAAGGAAGCAAAACCATTCTGATTTTAAATAAACCTATGGTTAAAACTTGTGTGTTTGATAGCGCTTAGAAAAATCGACCCATTTCAATATACACAATGCAAAGTTAACTTAAAATTGGAAATTTTAAGTTTTATTGAGATGAGGTGATATCTGGGGAATCCATCAAGATCAATGATTAAGGGAAGGAAAAATTTGTTTGCTACAACAAAAACACAAAAAAAAACACTAAAATATAGGTTTAATTTACTAGAACAAATAAAACAAAAAGCTGCATCTAAAACGCACAAGAAATATTTTGAATAAGCAGTATAACAAAAATACTCATAATTTAATATTTCAAACTGTGTTGCTTGAACCTTTATTTCAGCTTCATAAATACCATGAAATAAATATCTATATAAATTACCTAATAAGTTCTAATGCAGAGCCTATAAGAGCTGCAGTGATCACATAGTTAACAAAGAAGGCCCCAGAGTCGGGCAGAAATATGCATTCCCATCTGAAGTAAAAAATTATCAGATATTAACTATACTTAGTTTAAAATATATTTAAAGATGGAAAATAACTCACTTGTATGTATCTGTGTTGTTCTGGAAGAGAAAATTAAAATATGCTTTTCCTGTGGTGAATCCAAAAGTGGGAAGGATTATGACCATGAACAGAAGATACCTTAACAGAAAAGATTTTCAACATAATTGATATAAACTATTGATAAAACATTTAAAGAAATAAATACCAGAAAGTTTTCCGCATAACAGAATGGTTTTCCTCAGATCTAGTCCATCTTCCCAGCCATCGATCTGATCAATTATAATTTAAATATCAGTTTATCTTATTTAGTCCATCTACCCAGCCATCGATCTGATCAATTATAATTTAAATATCAGTTTAACCTAATTAAGCCAACTACCCAGCCATCGATCTGATCAATTATAATTTAAATATCAGTTTTATCTTATTTAGTCCATCAATCCAACCATCGGTCTGATCAATTATAATTTAAATATCAGTTTTATCTTATTTAGTCCATCTACCCAGCCATCGATCTGATCAATTATAATTCAAATGTCAGTTTTATCTTATTTAGTCCATCTACCCAACCTTTGCATGATCTGATCAATTTCTGTCTAATTGGTTCATCTACCCAACTATTGATCGAATCAATTAGTATACAAATTATCAGTTTCCCATAGATCTAGTCAATCTATCCAACTATTCACCTGAACAAGTAATATACAAATTAAAAGTTTCCCTCTGATTTGGTCCATTTGGATCTTAATTTTTTTTAAATTTAACATTCAAGATTTCAAAAACTGAAACCTGAAAGAATAACGAACCATTGAATACACATCACAAGTTGCAGGTAGACGATGTTATCACTGTCTATTTTGTGCTTAAAATATACCCGAGTATGACACAAGAAGTGGAAGAAGGGCAGTAAAGCTCCAGAGCATAACTGTAGGAATAAAGTCCTTAATCCAGGAACCTCCGGTACTTCCCTAATTTATTTGAGTAGAGGTAACATAAACTCAGATCAGGGAATATTTGTATTAGATAGCCTGTTAAAGGGACTACATGTGTAATTTCAAGTAACCCTCTATGTCAAGGTAAGCATGCCTAATTTCCAATTACGACGTTACCAGTAAAAGCTTTGTCTGATTTAGAAATCCATGTGTTTTTTAACTGATCATTTTTACTCGTGGTTTCTCTATAAATGTTTTGCACATTTTTTCTTTTAAAGCAACAATAGAGAAATTACGCTTGCAGTCCCATTTAAGTCCAGGAATTCAGCCGCTGAACCTATTAACCAGAGGACAACCTTTAAAGATGACAGGTTCAACTTCAGAAATCGACAGCTAATTCTAGGAATCTTGGATTTAGATTCAATACAATAATTTCCAGCTCAGTTCAATTCAGTTAGGCTCACAAAGCATTTAATTTTTTCTTACAAGAGTGCACTAAGAAACGCTTTTTTACAAATCCTTAAATTTTATTTTAAGACAATTTTTAATTTACACACCAGAGCTGAAAACTTTAGACTGAGGTATACTTAATCCCAATTACTTAATCTGAGTATCCAATGGACAAGCTTTTGATTTTCTTCTCAATACGTTCTTTCTTGGATATAGTAGAGAAAAATTAAAAATCGGTTTTTAAAAATTAGTAATTCCTCCCGTTTCTGTATATAATCTTGAATGGCGCGCAAAACTTTAAATTTATCGGCTTTATATATGCGACTCTGATTGGTTGAATTTTATACACTTTTCAGGATACAAGTACAATATTAGGTTAGTCTTTATATTAAGAAAAAGAGAGGATCAAGAATTAATCTCAATATCCACCATTCTAAAGTTTTCAGCTCAAATATACAAAGTTTCTTAAAAGTTTCTGGTCGCAGGGCGGCGTATTATAAATTTTATAGATTTGAAAGGCTTGAATTTTCTAGATTAAGACAAGACAAAAATTTCTGTCCAAAAACTTTTAAGCACTCCGAACCAAAAAAAATAGTGTTACATATTTATTCCAGAAGATTAGATAAACACATAAGATTTCACCTGGAAATCCATGGTAGGTCCAAAAAGTGCTATTAGAATAGTATCAAACTGACTGACAGCATATTCTGGTGTAGTGAGGAAAAAGGTGACACAGAAGAGAATTATATTAGATAAAAGCCATTTCAGAAGCAACCACTGCCGTTTATCTGCATTAAAAATGTTTCAAAAAAGTAGGAAAGGAATTGAGTTCTTGCCACAAACTAAACTTTATAAATCCCTATTCTTTGCAACCTGACCGTGTAAATCTGTGATATTTCACACCTAGAATATTTGATCCAACAGAACTATTAGTTGAACTATGTTCAGTCTACGACCTGGATTGCAAAAATATAGTGATTAGGAAATCAGAGTTTGAGGCAAAGACTCAATTCTTTTTATGGTAAAAATGATTTTCAAGGTAAAAATGACCTGAGAGGTGTTCCCAATAAATATCTCTAGGAGGCGGTGCAAACCAAACCTTCCAATCATTAGATTTTATGCTGGAACTGAAAATTTAAAAAATATTATTTGTTCAAAAATATAAACTAATCAATTCAAAACTTTAATATTATTCTTAATTTAAGACCCAATAACTGGAGCACCGTTTACCAGGATTACAGTTTTTTAAAATAAAAAAAAATCCCTACAAAAATGTCAGCCAATTTGGTCCAACCGTTTGGCTGCAGCAATAGCTAACATACAAATATAAAGATATATACGAGTAAAGAGCTTACTTTTTTAGATCATAAATAAAATGATTTATTTTTTTTCTTCAGATTTATAAGAAGAGTGTCTTCTAAATACCTTATAGGAGTTTTCTAAATTGTAACAATATTGTATTATTTAGAGTGTGAACTGTGAATTGGTGACTTAGTTTGCAATACCTGAGTGAAGAGATTGCAGATTTCTTATTATATCGGCTTAAAATAGAAGGTTCATGGTCTTCATAAACATACTTCGCACCATTCACAGAATTAAAAGTCACAAAGGCCATACCTTAACAGTTTCATTAAAGGGACTGTTAACAGCCCGATTCACAACTTTTATCTGATAAATAATGTGGAAGATATTGTCGTTGTTTTATCTTAAAAACTGTTAAATTCTGATCATTCAAATATGTTTTCCATACGTAGAAATGCGCAAGTCAGTTTTAAAATCATCAGCATTGATATTTAATTCATATTTGATCGAACAATGCTTTTAAGGGTACTATTGTAAATCAGGTCTTGTCATCTTTGCATGGTGGGTTACCTAAAATTACACTAGCAGTCTCTTTAAGCTAACATGTTTAGAATTACAAAGTTTTAAAGATCGACTAAAATTTTATAATGAACTACTTACCTAAAGGTGAATGCAATGACATTTCTTTAAGCTTGATCACATTAGATTGAAGTTCAGTAATTTGATCTCCATAGAACTCTACAACATCTACTGCTGTGCTACAAGGAGAGCAAAAACAGCAACATAGTCTAAATTATATGATAAAACAGAAGGCGTAGGATATTTTGAAACGGATGTAAGACAAGTAAAATTAAGAGTCTATCAATTAAGTTTTATTTTTTCATAAAAGCATTTCTGCTGCTCCGCCATTGTGTCTATATAATACTGACTGGGAATTTAGTTAATTAGCACAATTAACAGTATTCATAGATAACTTTCCCTTTATAAAATAAAATAGATAATGTCATATAAAGCTGGATGAAATGTTAACTGACTGTTACCTGGAGCAGCAGTGTGGGTACATACTAAGCCCCCTATCATGCTTATCCTTATACTTGACACCATACTCGTAACAGGAGAGAGCATCCAACAGTTCATTATGGGCCTTGGTCAGCTTTGTGACATCATAAACTATCTTCACATCATACAACTCAATCCTGATAATATTAACATATTTAATTATTGAGGAAAGGTAAAATATTGGCTCGAGGGACGGTACAATATAGGCTTGACGGATGGTTGAAATATGCGCAATAACAACCTGGGATAGGCTTCTTTCATGTGTCTTCTGATGAGCTCTTCCGTGCACATATTCAGAGGAATGTTCTCGATGCAAATGGTTGGTGTGATTTCTAAACCAGGATCCCGAAACTTAAAAAAATATTATCATTTTCACTTCTTTTTCATGTAATCAGATTAATTTGGAATCCCAAATTATCATCATTCAACAAGCGAATCAGTTCAAAAGTCCCTTTTGAATAAATTTATTTATCTATTAATACAATTTTGACATGATTTAACCAAATTTCATACAAGTCACACATTATGTTAAACAATGATTGATAGAAATAGGCTATATTCCAGAAAAAACACACAAAAAAAAACAAGTTTTCAAATACCTTAAGACCAGTTGAAAATTTTCGCATAGTGAAGATTGCAATAGGGAACAGTAGAAACGCTAAGAAATCATTAAGATAAGTCTCGTACTATATTATTAAGGGCATAAAGAATAGTTGAACATGAAGATATCTATTGAATTTAGGTTCTTCTCAATTATGCAACAAAAAAGTTAAAAGGTGAAAAATTGATAATCTGTGACACAAATGCACATCATATCATTCAAATTAACTGTTAAAAACCAATAAGAATGAAGAAAATTAGACAATCATTAACAATCCTATAGTTATATGAACCCAGAGGAAAGGGGAAGCTGGATCCAGGTTGCTGAGGGTTGTATGACCGAAGTCTGTTGTATTTCCCTGTAGATCTCCTGCAAAATTATTAAAATCTAGATCTTTATATTAAACCAAATTGTGCCGACTTTTTATATATATAAATTATTGAAATACCTTGAAAGTTTAATGGAAGGATAACACAAACAGACAGTGTAGTTGTAATGAACATGTACCCAATGATATACCTCTGAAATCTAATAAGATATGAATTCATTATTAAACAGACTAAGATAACCTCATACAGTGTTTTTTATTGTAAAGATTTTGGAAAAGGGCCCAAAATAATTATTAATTTAGTTTTTCAAAGTTAATTATCACTAGGTTTCCACCAAAAGTTTTGAGTGAGTTTTTTGCAACTTTTCTTGCGGTTAGCGCTGATTTTTTGGATGTGCGGAAAAATATTTAATGATTCACAGCAAAGTCTTATTATTAACATTAGCACAAAGAATAAAGGTACCTGAGATATTGAACAGCATCATCACCAACTAAAGATTCTAATTTTCTGTCGGACATTGTAAATATCTTTATTTAAGATAAAATTACTCTAAGTTGTCTTCTATATAAATATTTAACAATTTTTTTCTTCCATTTTTCAGAACAACTTTTTAGTTTTATCTTTCCTTAACAAACCAACTCCAAAATCCGTCTTCTTCCTCTAAACATATTTTCATGCATTCATTACTCATGCATCAAATTTTGCACAAGACATTAAACAGTTGGGTTGGCTCTTTATATGTGAACGTACATATGTGACTGTATGCATACCGAAAAGTTTTAAGTCCCTAATGAAATTCCACTTGCTTTTAACATGGAAAACAGTATAAAAGGGACTGTAAGTGACCTTCAATGAAAAGATAACAATGCTCGATTCACAATTCTACTCTTGAAACTTTAATCTAATCAATAATGTGAAAGATACCGTCCTTGATCTAAATAAACAAGCGTTAATTCTGATCATATTTCCGTACTTTCTTAAAAGCAAGAAATGCGCAAGTCAATTTGTTAGATAAACCACAAATCCAAATAAAAATGAAGGGTTTGAATAAACAATGAAATATCTTATTCATACCTCATCAGACAAAGATTTCAAGGATACCAGTGTAAATCCGACATTACCATCTTTGCATCGAGGGTCACTTGAAATTACGATTATAATCTATGTAATAGAAGAAAAGATCACCTAAACTGAAAGATCTGCTGATTCTATCATCAGTGAGGTTTCTACTATCTTCATTAGGATCAAGATGCTGGACAATGTCAGGTACATCAATATCATCAGGTACATGATTAACATTATCAGGTGGTTCTCCACTCTCTGTAACTGAACTATTCATTTCAGGTTGAACTTCTTTGTTGTCAACTAGTTCAGCATTTGTGTTCCCACTAAAATATGCTAAATTAAATTAATATTTTGATAATTACATCATTTCAGTTGATCGAAATAGATTCTTCAGAAATTGACAAATTTAGACATTCGTTATTATAACCTGTGGAAAAGTTGTGCTATTTTGTTCATAAAGTTTAATTCCGAGGACATCCTCTCCAGTCTCTTCAGCTTAATATATTTATAAGCAGATTTCCGTACCATTACAAACAGCAACATCAGGAATGTCCAGCCAATGAGGTTTGTAACCTTAACAAAAATTCATATAACCATTAATTTAAATATTAACCAGCAATTTTAATCAATTTGTAGAGTGTATCTGTTTACTAAACCACATATCATGTTAAAATCAAATTCTAGAAGTATAAGAAAAAAAATAATGATAGAATATAAAACTTCACACCAATTTACTTGAAATGAAAGCATTGCTAAGCCCAACTCTGGTTCAGTAAAATCTATGGTTTCCTGAGGGTCTCAGGCCCCATGGAAAGAAAACAAATGTAAGCCCCCCTGGTCAAATTCCTGAGTACACCCCTGAAAGCATTCCAGATTAAAATTTAGATAAGTCAAGTGGTAATCTTTCCAGATAAGCTTATCACAAACTTTGAATAGTATAAGAATTTTCAAGATATAGTTAAATTCAATATTTGAAATTAGAATGAGACATGTTTTTACCAGATTAGTAGGAAGACCTCCATATGTATTTCCAATATGAAAAGGATCTGTTGAATTGAATGTGTATAAATTGCACTTCTCAATATCACTCATATTACCTATATCAGGATATCTGAAAAATGTTTTATATAATTTTCAAAACTTGTTTTCGACTTTAAAAGAAATAATTGGAGAATTGGGTGAACTGAATTTTATTAATTACCAGCGCGCCATAATCTGAAGTAAATTCTGTTAATAAGAAAAAGAATTTAATCATAGTATTGATAAACATTGATACAAATGAATCAAGCTCTCTGAACAATCTAGAAGTCTAGGATTCATCTATCCTTAATAAAATCTTTAAATTCAATTAGACATAAACTGTTGTTGGAGAAATTGTATAAGGAATATCCATTGTAAACCTGTGTAACTTCTATTCTTCCGTACAGGTTTACCCACAAAGGATGGGACTTCAGAGAGGATTGCACAGATTTTATTTATATAATTTTCATGCATTTACAGGTTCCTGCAGCTAAACATATGAACATGAATTTCTCCTTTTCATCATTAATAAACCGCTTGAAGACTTTATTACAGGGAGATGACCATGTTGAACCATTTTTATCTGTATAATAAGTTTTTAGGTCTATATTAACGTCTCATCCTTTGTTTGCAAGCCTAAAATGCTATCAAATGTATCACATCTTCTGAAATATTTAATTAATTTTTTAAATTATCTATTTTTTCCCTGGAAGTAACAATGGAAATATTTAAAATATATAGGTCATGAATATAATTAGCCTTCAGTTATTTTACGGATAGATAGGGGGCAATTCTTAAACCATTTTTCTTCAACCTAGTTTGCAGTTACTTATATTTTGTACTATTGTCTAGTTTTTTTCCCTAAAATATTTGATCACAGTGGTTTGATAATAACCAGTTAGTTCTTCACTAAAATATTTTAATTACACTGGTTTGATAATAACGTATACCNACTAAAATATTTGATTACACTGGTTTGATATTAACTAGTTAGCTCTTCACTAAAATATTTGATTACACTGGTTTGATATTAACTAGTTAGTTCTTTACTAAAATATTTGATTATACTGGTTTGATATTAGCTAATTAGTTCTTTACTAAAATATTTTATTTCACTGGTTTGATATTAACTAGTTATTTCTTTACTAAAATATTTGATTACACTGGTTTAATAATAACTAGTTAGCTCTTTACTAAAATATTTGATTACACTGGTTTGATATTAGCTAATTAGTTCTTTACTAAAATATTTGATTACATTGGTTTGATATTAGCTAGTTAGCTCTTTACTAAAATATTTGATTACACTGGTTTGATATTAGCTAGTTAATTCTTTACTAAAATATTTGATTACAGTGGTTTGATATTAGCTAGTTAGCTCTTTACTAAAATGTTTGATTACACTGGTTTGATATTAGCTAATTAGTTCTTTACAAAAATATTTTATTTCACTGGTTTGATATTAACTAGTTATTTCTTTACTAAAATATTTGATTACACTGGTTTGATATTAACTAGTTAGCTCTTTACTAAAATATTTGATTACACTGGTTTGATATTAGCTAGTTATTTCTTTACTAAAATATTTGATTACACTGGTTTGATATTAATTAGTTAGTTCTTCACTAAAATATTTGATTACACTGGTTTGATATTAACTAGTTAGTTCTTTACTAAAATGTTTGATTACATTGCATTTTATAATAACTAGCTAACTCTTTAACAAAAATATTTGATTGACTAAATAACATTGACTATAGTTAGTTCTACTAAATCTTTATTACTCTAATTTGATAAAGACTAGATAGTGCGTTTCTAAAATGTTCGAATATATTGGTTTGTTACAGCCTAGTTGTTTACCAACAAAAATGTTTAATTGAACTGGTTTAAAATTGGCAGTTTCTTACAAAAATGGTTTCTTGATGAGCACACTGAATTAATTGGTTTTCTATTTTTATTTCTTTGCTAAGGGAACAAGGCAAAATTCAGACTCCTTTTTTTAATAAAATACATTCTTTTAAAACAAGAAGCATAAAGAATTCTACCAAAGTCACTTGAAGTAATTACACCTTACTTCACACTTTAGATACTACTGACTCCTGGAGTCCCTTTTGTTATCAATTTACTAGTTAACTATCTATCTAACTATCTATATAAGTATAACATCATTTTATCAGCTGTATCACCAGTAGGAAACTAAATACTTGTCAGGTGTGTGGATGGGGGGGGGGGGGGTGTCTGATTTTCTGAATTGTAGAACACTTGTCTGTGAAGGAGAGGTCAGAATTTAACAAGGTAAATTTTCCACCATAATCCCACAAAAGGGACTGCTTGTGTAATTTCAAGTGACTCTCCAATAATAAGAGGGGCCTTTCCGATTCACAACGGTATCCTTCAAAACTTTGTCTGTATGTACGAGAACTTCTGCTTAGAAAAAAATGGAAAACTTATCAGAATTGAACATTTTTCGAGGTAGGAAGAAGATGATATCTTTCACATTATAAAGGTTTACCTCTGTCACTCTTAGATGGCGCGTCACTTGAAATTACGTCTACAGTCCCTTTAAGGACATATATATATATAATCTAAAAACCACAAGAGATATGGTAAAATATTTCGTAGTTATGACGCAACTAAAATCATAGGTCGGTGTGACAGGGATATTACGCAGATAACTTTTCTAGGTTTAAGAACGTTTTTTCATTAAATTGAACAAATCTGTTTTCATTAGACTAAATTTTAGAGTCTTCTTTGAGAAAGTTTGTTTTTATACCAAATCAGATTTTAATCAAAATACTATTAACAAAAATGACCAATTCCATTTTGGTGTATTTTGCCTTTCTTCTTTAACTTAGTTACATAAATCATTTAACGCTTAACGCTTATTCACCAAGTTTTTTTTGTGACATCTGACAACTTTATTATTACTTACTAGACACCACACTAAAGGAAGAAATTAAATGATTTTAAAACATAACAATTCTAAACATGAGACTGAGAAGTATGTCATTTAAAAAAATATAAAATTTATTTCTAGGAAAACTTTGCTGATATGATTTCTCTCTTAACCCCATCCTCGTATTTTTTCAAACACGTGACTAGAAACCCTTGAGCCTCCAGTTTACTCTGGAATTCTTGAACCCCTCCTCCTACACCGAAATAATAAGTTTTTGCAGCAATAAGAACACAACCGGCAGGTTTTAAGAAGTTCTTGAATATAGAGATTAGTTTAGAATGATTTGCAACGTTGTAAATGGTTTCAGAGGTTAGGATTAGATCGTATTTATCTTCTTCATTTGTGATCTCAGTGCTAAGGACATCACTAGCTAGGGAACCCCAGTCTCCGGAGAAAAATCTACAAAAAGTAAGAATAAAAATATGAAACTATACTTGCCTTAAAAACATAATTACTCTAACTTATAAATAAATTTAACAAGAAAAATAATGTAACAAAAATACAAATCTTCACATCACATTACAAATCTTTAAAAGTCCATGAAAAATACAACATTTCAGAATTACTTTTATCGGTCCTTATATACGACAAAGTTTATGAAATTTGAACTTGACTACCGCCGGTTCAAATTTAAATAACCGATTCAAATCTTTCCGTAATCAATTAACTTTGAATCGGTGGTTCAAACTTGAACCGGCAAAAAGTAGTTTAGCGACATAGCTCAAATTTATCAAATTCGGTTCCCGGTCTTGAACAATACTTCAGACACAAAACTATTTTACCTGGTCCTTGACTGGTGCTTATCAGGAATATGAAGATTAAGAAGAAGATTGGGAATAGTTATCTCTTCCAGCACCTCAGGGTTGTAGTCGTTAAAATGAACTAAAATATATTTAATAAGAATAATAATAAGTATATTTTTTTTTGGCGTACATAATTTACAATATTTTTACTTGAATTATTCAAAAATTTTGAACAACAGAGGGCTCAGCGAGCAATAGCTGTATTGCCAAGAGCCCCTGGTAACACAAATATAAAAAATAATTAATATCCATCCCTTCCTTAAACTAATCTTCTATTCCATTCTTTTTCAAAACCTTCTGGTTATTTATATAATTGAAGAATAAATATATTATTACTAGAATTAGAATTGATATCAAACAAATTGAATTTTTGGATCCACTGGGAAACTTAATTTATCTTAAAAAATTGCATTACAATTGCTAACGATATTTTGCTATTAAGTCATTCTAAACTCTCTCTCATTTTTTACTAAACTAACACTCCCTTTAAATAGCTTATTCGGAGCTTACATCAGTAACCTAAACTCGTGTTAGCCCCATCCCCCTCCTTTGTTCCTGAATTGATTACTGTTTAATTCTTGGTAATGTAAGTAGTTGTGCCTCTGCAAAACAAGAACAAGAGAAAACGCGGGNTATTTACCTGTTGCCCCCATGGTGAACGCTAAAACACCAGGAAGTCCAGCTCCACACCCCAACTCTAAAACCTTTTGCCCTTCTGAAAATTTAGTAAATTAGTTACTTTTGTTTTGACAATGATTCAATGATAAACCCGACGGGGCGTAGGCCTAGGGGTTCATCATATCATATCATATCATACAGCTAGGGATGCGTCCAACCGCTCCTTGACCTACAAGGGGTATGCCATCACAATCCCCTATAGGTGAAGGCTTTTCAGCCTGACATAGTTTAAATCCGAGAGGGTTTTAATTTCTATTGAATGTAATTATTTTGAGAGAAAATGACATTCTTCTGGAAAGAGCTGGTTTTTAACAAGGACCTGGGACCTGCATAAGATTTCAGATCAGCGGGATTCAATGAAAATTCTTAGATGCCAAAATCTAACTTTTTATAAAGGAATGACCATTTCTGGTACTATGGATTAGCTGCCGCCATCAAATGATTAACATAAATAGATGATCAATAATGTGCGATAAATAATGTATCTTTATTATAAAGCTCTTCTCTCTTATATATGTTAGCTATAAATGGCCAATGGGCTGATTTTTTTAGGGAACCCGTGGGTCTATTTATCTATCTATTATGACTCCCCAATAACATGAATGCTACCAGGAACCCCGGGGATAACATATGGCAACGCCCGGCAATTCAGCTAGTATTTTTACACTGAATTAAATATGTGCGGTACACCTACCCAACTTAGTGTCATATTCATTAAACAGATATTTAACAAGATCATCTGAGCACTCCCAGATCTTTAAACCTCCTTCGTAAACACCTGAACAAAAATAAATTAATCACACGAACATTATTCCACATAATTCAAGGCCATACTCTTATTGCAAAAAAAAAGAAACAGATTTTCACACCATGAATAATTGATGACCTGCAACTAGTAATTGTGTATTGCGCATCAAGTTAAATCGTTTTTAGCATATATCTTCTTTGAGTGTTTGAGTCATGATAGATGATATAGGCAAAAAGAACCAAGAACGATCTAGAAGCGAACGTATTTAAACAATTGTTGTTGAACTTTTTTCCAGTTTCTAGGTAAAAAATATTCAGTAAAAACAAATTTTAACTTAGTTTTGAAATAAAGGCAGTTTTATCGAAGTTATTAAAAAACGGGCCACCTGCAACTAGATCAGTTTTATCCTCTAATGCTGCCGAAAGATCACCTTTATATCTGAAATATTTTAATCAACAATTTTCTGAACAAATTCAGTTATAACTATGCTGTGTAGCCGATTTGTTTCATTTTGTGAATCTATCAGTAAAGCTCAGCAACAGACTATAGTTTGATTTAGTCAAAAATGACAAAAGAACAAAATTATGTAAAAATAATAATCTTGATGTATTCTTTAATTAAGAATCTCCATATTACATATGTTCCTCATAAAACTATTATCTTTACCCCACCCCCTCCTTATAATCATTGTTTTACTTACTTGTTTATTTTCAGGTTTGTTACAACTGTCTCACTGTTAATAAAGTTTAAGGTATGTCTTCTCCTCTCTACAACTTTAGAGGATGCCTCCGGAGCAATCAATTTCTGCTCTTCGTCCTCCGTCCTACTCAGAGGTACAACTGAATCCTCCTCCTCGTCCTCTGAATCTTCATCTCCCTCCTCAATAGAATCAAGAATCCCATCTGTGGATGATTTATTGTTTTTCTCTGAAAAATCTTTATCTTCAAGATAAAATAATTCAACAGACTCTAGTGCAGATATTCTGAACCGAAAATAAACAAATCTAAATTTTGTTTTTAATGCTAAATTGTGATGGATGTAATATTAATATGCTTAAAAATAAAATGAAAAAATCGGTTTTTGTTAAAAACATTAAATTTGACGATTATTCTTTTTCCACACTCTTTATCTTATTTGTACATTTTGATAAAAACCTTATTTTCAGGTAGGCTTCTTGTTAACTTCTTGTTAACTTATTGTTAAATGTTAAAACTCAATTGATAAAATCCTATTCTAGGAGATTAAATGGAGTAGACGATTAACGGAAAAAATCTCTAAATTAAATTCTGCGTTTATGTTAATATTTAAAGTTCTTAAAGGAAATAATATCCTTAATTTGAGTAAAAGTTAGGAAGATATCGTCGTTTTATATCTTATCGAAATATGTTTGCTAACTTCCGTCTTCCTTATTTCTCCCGAATTAATCACAACTCACTTTAATGAAGGAAAAACATCGAAACAGAAAATTAATCATTTTTAATAGTTTAAAAGAACAAACTTGTACAATTCAGTTCTAGACCGTGTAATACCTCTGAATACGATAATTTATGAGAATCATTATTTTTAATCATGTGTTCAAAATGACGTACGTTTTGTTTGTTATATTAAAGTTAATAATATGTTTTATTTTCCTTTCGATTTGATTATCTGTGATGGTAACTTCTTTCGCCTGAGAATGAATAATCTAATTCAATTTTGTACATAATACTTTTTAAGTGGTATCTTTAAAATCAAATGTTTTCATTATTTTTTTTTTTTTTATTAAATCAGATTCCTTCTTCCAGACGATAGTTGATTCTAATTCTTCAATCCCTCTCTTCTCCCCCCTACCCTCCACTCCGGTTGAGAAGTTAAACAGAAAAGGCATTCTTCTGAAATAATAAATCTAGAAATTTAGGAATATTTAACTACTGAGCGAATCCTGTTACTTCCTCTATGGCCGCGGTCTGATCATGTTCCGACATCAACTGAAATATAATTAAAAAATTATCAACGGAAATAGAATCCTGTAAATAATAATAAGACTTTCACCAATTTGCTTTTTCATACTTTTGATATTCATATCCCCCCCCCCCCCCCCGGGGCAAAATTATTATTTTCAGTGTTAACCCTATTCCCGCTGGGGGGGGGGGGTCATTTTGACCCCCCCCTGTAGTTTTTTTTACATAACTCAAAAAGTATTGGTCTGAGGCTGTTGAAATTTTCTGACTTTTCTTACATACCCAAAGCCCTCCCTTTAGGCCTAAAACCGGGCTTTAATACTAACTGCCTGAGTCCTCAGGCACACTGCCTGAATGACTGCTTTTGCCTGTTGCAAACTAAATCTTTGTTTTGACCCACTTTCACTTGTCAGATTTTGATAAAATTTAGCTTTTTGGAAAGCCTATGACATAAGGAAACGGATTGCACAAGTTTTGCGAAAAAAAAATTGCAAATTTTTTGCAAACAACCTGTCAAAGGAAATTTGCACATTTCTAGTTTTTCTTGATTAAAAATCAGGTTATTTAAAATTTTGCAAAAATTTTTGCATATTTGAAATGGCATGGTCAAAGGCTTTTCAAAAATGTATAATTTGTCATTTTTTGGACAATTTTTTTTTTGCAAACATTTTTACTATAAAACTGGATTTTGCAATAAAAAACTCAATTTTCGCAAATTTGCAAATTTTTTTGCAGATTCTAAAAGTAGAGCACAAGAGCTTTCTAATGATGTATCATTTGTCATATTTGGACATAAAACATGGGATTTAGAGGGGGGGGTCAAATTGACCCCCCCCCAGCGTATCCTGGTTTTCAAGTACCCCAGCGGGGATAGGGTTAAGAATCCATTTTATTTTTATTTTAACGAAAAAAGAATTTTTCTTCTTTTTTTCGCCTATTTTTATGATACAACTTGATATACCATTCAGGGATAAGGTAATTTTTAATAACTTCACTTTTTTCAAGCGTTAGGATTTGGGGTTACAAAAATTTTCTTTTTACAATTTTAGTACGATGAAATGCTTGATGCTTGTTACCTGATAGTGCGAGACTTCCATAGATAGATTTGCTTTCCCTGAAGATATAATTCGAAGGTGTGAAGAGTATCCCCTGTTTCAGAATAAATTCAGTTTTAATTAAAATACCAAACAACTAGAGTTTATTTATTTTATTTCTTAAATGAACTGTAGAGTGTAGAAATATTTTCAACTGGACCTCACTTAAAAATGTTGAATTCTGACGATTCCTTCATTTTTGCTGGTTCATAAATGCGCTGGTCAATATTACAAAGAAACCGCAATCAAAAACAATCAGTTTTTAGTTATCTAGGATATCTGATTCATCCCTTGATCAGACAAAGGTTTAAAGGCTTTATATAGGTTTTAAAGAGTAGTAACTTGAAATTAAGTCCACTATTATAAGCAGTACGTTAATTGTTTTGTTTTCAAATAAATTACGAACTGAATATTTTCCTAAGTTCTGCCAGAGGAGCAGAGCCCTTGAGTAAAGATATTCCCTCCCCTTCACTAGTTTGCCGTGCAGTACTGTAATCTATTTCCCCCCGTCGTCTTGTAACATCCTGAGTATCATTATTATTTTTAGTTTAAGAGCGACCTGTCCTTTCAATTACAATCAAGTTTCTGCTTGATTTACGCGCAAAAACATTTGTTAACACGTACCATATTTTTTGATAACAATAACAATAACAATAACAATAACAATAACAATAACAATAACATAGGGGTGTTTATTACAATATTTTTCAATAACAATAACTATAAAAATAACAATAACAATAACACAGGGGTGTATATAAGTTGCGAGACTCACGTTTTTGCCCCCCCCCCTTTTCAAAAATCAAGTCCCCCCCCGAGTTTTTTTTAAGTATTTCTGATTCATTTTTTTTTGGTTTTTTCCCTTTCCTTTTCCTTTTTCCCCTTTCCTTCCCTCTTTTCCCTTTTTTTCTTCATTTTTCCAACAAAACCCAATGAAAGCTCATATTTTTGCCCCCAACAGAAAAATATACACCCCTGCAATAACAATAACAATAAAAAAATAACAACAACAACCAACCTGTTGAACTGTTTCTACAACATCGTCTTCACAAATGATCTCAAGATCCATCATTGGTTCCGCCAGTCTTAAAATCAAAAGATAATTTTCTTTTTCATAGTAAAGATTGCAATACCACTATTAAATGCAAAAAATTTCTTTGGAAAAGGTGTCCCAAAGAGGTTTTTAACGGATGATAACAGGGATAAACGAAAATTGAAACAAATGCTTTTCTTTTAGAAAGGCCTCTAATCAAGACACCATATCTCTCGATTGAACTAAGGCTTACTAGGGCTTGTTCAAAAAAATTACAATACTTTTAATCCAAAGGGAGAAAAAAAGCGATTTTGCTAACTTTTTTCTCTACAAGCTAGTTGTGCCAGTTCGAATTTTGATGACTTTTTATATATAGGGTTACCCATAAAGAATGAGACTTCAGAGATGATTGTACAGAATTTATACAGCCTGATTCCTTGTATTTTTAATTACCTGCATCTGTAAACTCGTTTGCCTAATCATTAAAAAGCCATAAAAAGATTATATTCAAGGCAGAAGACTTAATTCAACCCACAGAATCGTTAAATTTAGAGTTTCAGGTGATCTTCACAATTTCATCCTTTGTGGGTAACCCAAAGGTGTTCTGGTTCAGCTTTTATAATTCTCACCTAACGTCTGTATTCCTTAGAAGGGATTTAGTTATAAAGGTTGCTCCGCCACTTATCATAGGAATAGACGTCCCTCTTCCAATCTTAACAATCAGAAAATTAGCTTCAAGTTTTTTTAATGAGCAATAAGCATTGAGCATACGATAATCTGATAAAATATTCAAAAATAACTTAAAACCCGCCAGCGGCTGCGGTGACTTATACGTCCCCTATAAATTATTTTACATAAAACTCATCTATTTTCCTCAATTTTGAGTTTATCTCCGCGGGAGTCATTTTATGATACAGTAAACAATATGGGACACACATGTGTACAGTTAAACGGTTCTACCTACTCATCTTCCAAATTATTTAACCGTGTAAAGTTGAGGTGTGAACAATTAAACTAAATTTATGGAAAACAAAAAACAGCAGCCTTTAAGGTATGGTAAATTTTTTTAGTAGAAAACTATTTTAAAATGTTTTAAAAAAGTTTTTCAATTTATTATTAATTATTCTTTGAAATTATTTTTTGAAAAAAATTTTTCTGTCATTATTTTAGAAATAAGAACTACATTTTTCCATACATAAATAAATTGGCCTTATAGGGCACCTCAGTTGTCACAGGGTGGGTATACAGTTTTATAATATGTGANACCCGCCCTGCAGCAACTGTGGTGACTTATAAGGCCACTCTTAAAATCCCTAAAAAAACACCTTTAAAATTTTTTTTTTGCATTTTTTACTTTTTTTCCTTGATCTAACCAATAATAAGTATTCTTAATCAAATTTTCAAAGAAAAATATAAAAAAAAATTCTTCAGCCGCTAGTGGGTTAAATATCTCAACAATTTTAAATGTCTAAATTAATTATCAACACAGCCGGCGACAAATCAAAATCGAATCGAATCGAATCGAATCAAATCAATTCAAATCAAACGAAAACGAAACCCGATAATTCTTAAATGAACTCTATCTGGGGTTTCCTTGACTGTATTTTCATTACGTCTTTCTTAATTATATGTTTAATGTTTATTGTTTACTCTTTTTTGGACCACATATTACGTATATTTAAATACTCAATTTACTTCTGAAACGTGTTTTGAGAACAAAAAAAATATTTTCAAACATATTTTCTATTTTATTTTTACCTTCCTTGGTGAAATCAAATCCAACACTTACCAAAACACATTCATTAAGTATTTAGCCAACAATAATCCACCAAGATTAGAAAATGGTATATACAGAAAGTAGAGGCCAGAGGGAGAAAATAATAAGTTAATAATTTAACCCAAAACGCGTTATTTAGTAAATCCTAGGTTTTGTCCCATGATATAATCTGTAAAAACTGAAATATTGACCTGAGCATCATTAATTAATATAATAGCGTCCATTACAGGATAACCTAACAGAGGCCCAGTCTCAAGTCCTAGAAAATAAACGTCATTCCAAATATAAGGACTAAATAATCAGGGGCGATCGTCGGGGGTTGTGTGAAGAAAGCCCCCCCCCCCCCCGCCAGAATAAGAATCGAATACTAGAATGAACGAAATCTACAGATAAAAAGATGGAATACAGAATTTTAAGTCTAGTATTTTCTAGACTTGACCAAAACGTACCCCAATGAATACTAAAAATGATACATATTTACTTATTTCTGCCTTCAGAACTGTGCTCACAACGGTCGAGTATATACGAGTGAAAAAAAAAATAATAAAAACACCAATACAACTTAGCCACAGAAACAATGATTGCATCCCCTGCAATCTGGATTATAAGATTTAACGTCACCAAACTTACAGAAGATAAACAAAATCTATCTGTGTACACTAGTGACACTACCTTTTTACATGAGAGAATAAAAACCAGCACGAGACTGAATTTTGAATTCGAGAGGTCGCTGAATTACGTAACGCCGCGCCGGTTCAAATTTTGAAAAACCGATTCAAATCCTCATAAATCTTATAAAGGACTGGCAGGAGGAGGTTGAGGGACCTAGCTTAAATTGATTAAATTCGGTGACTTAATACAAATATTAGCATTACCTGAGAGAATTCCCTTTTCAATTGCTTTCTTCAACGGTGGTTTTATCTTCTGAAAGTTTAAAACAGCTTCATGGTCTGTTGTCCAGTGAACCTCACTAGGTCCTATAACAGGGCAGACAAATAACAAATAATGAATTTAATAATTTGTATTAAACACGCATCACAAACTTAGAGTTTGAATTCAATAATCAATATCTTAATCCAGGTTAAAATCTTAACAACATTTTTTAACTCCGGTAATTTTGGGTACACAAATCAAAGGCAATATTTTTGAAATTTTGTGATTATTATGGTTTAAAGAGTCATACTTACAATAATCGATTTTTGATTAAATGAAGCAAATTACCGCAAAGATCAAAGAAGATCTTCAAGTCGTCTCTTAACTGTCATGTTTCATGGGGCACCCTGTATCTTACCTTTCCCTTTTACAGGATGAATCATTAGTGAAAGCTGGAGAGAATGAATTTTATCAGAAATTCTTCTTTCAAACTTCTCAGAAAGTTTGCTCTCTGAACACGGGATCTCTCGGTATGCAACCTACAATTTCAACAACAATTTATTTCAAAGGCTAAACATGAGCCACTTCGTTTTTTTTATTGGTAAAAATTCAAATTAGTAGGGTTTAATTCTTCTCTTTTACTAAACGAAACGAAACTAAACTAAACTAAACTAAACTAAACTAAACTAAACTAAACTAAACTAAACTAAACTAAACTAAACTAAACTAAACTAAACTTAAACTAAACTAAACTAAACTAAACTAAACTAAACTAAACTAAACTAAACTAAACTAAACTAAACTAAACTAAACTAAACTAAACTAAAATAAACCAAACCAAACCAAACCAAACAAAACAAAACCAAACAAAAGGACAAGTACTTGATTTGCTCAACTTCCTTTCATTTACAAACCTGAAGTTTTCCGAGTTCAACATCCACCTTCCACTCAGTTCTGATCCTGTCAGCAATAATCTCAAGATGAAGTTCTCCCATACCTCCCAGGACACATTGTCCTGTCTCCGGGTCCTGTCGGATACGCAGACTAGGATCCTCCCGGGATAAACACTCCAAAGCAATATCAAACTTAAATACGTTTCATTATTAGACATTCAAGCAAGGGAAATACGTTCAGGTGAAAACATGATAATCATAGGGATTGGTTTTTCACACAAGATAAATAGTGTTATTTACTTTTGAATTATAAATTTAATACTTTTTTATCTTATGATATTGTTGGCCATTGACCGACGTACTTTTGCAAAATTTTAGCGACAAAAATAAAAATTAGTTATAAGAATCTGGCAAACTAATCTTTTGCAAAGTATTGTAGAACTGAGACCATACTTAATGAATTTGAGCTCGGTCTTATGACGGATCAATCTTGAATCGGTGATTCAATCCATGATCTACAAGTTTAGAATTGGAAGGAGGAGAACCTTAAGTTACAGGTAAGTGGTTGAATCGGCGGTAGGTAGTTCAGCGACTAAACTCGCATTCATTAGATTCTATCCCTGGGCCTTCTACCTCACCTGTTTTTGAGCAGCAATACTTGGAGGTTCAATACTACAGAAGAAAACTGGTTCTGGGATGAAGGGTGTTGTAAGGATCGCTTCATTTATCTCATCATCAGCTTCATCATCATCATTCACAGGAGACTTATCATTGTCAACACTAGCCGCCTGATTTTTAAATACTAAAATTAGACATAACAAAAGCTTTAAGAGTTTAAAGCTGGGGATACAAACAATACTAACTTAAATATCTACATTCGAAAACATAAGGATAAATACAATACATTCTGTTAAGCTCAAGACAGATAAAAGCAAAGATCTTTGAAGACCAACCAAAAGTAAAAAGCATCCGGAGGGTCAGATCAAGGACCAAGTCCAAAAAACAGTTAACAGTAAAAGAAAACATTCGTTGTTTCGATACCGTTAATTAACCTATCCCTTTAGTCAACTCAAAAATCTTTGTTAGTAACTATGTACATATAATTTATTATTATGTAAAAAGTATTCTCTAAAAGAAACTTTTCTTAACCTTTATCGCTGCTTTAGCTACAGATTGAGAACTGACAATAGTGTCTCCTGTTCTACTCAGTTTGAGTCCGGATACTACAGCAATATTACCAGCAGAGATCTCATTCACATCCCTTAACATATCTCACGATAAAAATCCAGAAACTCTCAATTCATGTCGATTGTCGAGAATACATATATTGTTTATTTCCCTAACACTCATTTAACCCTCTCCCCAAATTGACATAAATGTGATTTTTTAGCCAAAACATAATAAAAAAGCAAATCTCGGGGTTACATAAGAAAGATTTTTCGTTCACTTTAACATACCATTGCCCAATGGAATTCAAAAAATATATTCTCCTCATACTCCATAAGAAGTTCTGAGAAATAATATCACACTAACAATTTAATAATATTTATATTCCAACGTATTTTTCTAATTACCTAAAGTCGTCTGCAAAAGCAATCATAAGCTTTGAAAATTTCTCTGTTTGCTGTTTATTTATATTGAAGATGGCAGAGTTAGAGGACAAGGTTCCTGAATAAACTCGAACAAAACTAAGAACTCCTTTCTGTGGATGATGAACAATCTTGAAAACAAGACCACAGAAGTTGGACCCGTAGAACCTGCAAATTTTTAAATTCAAGAAAAAACTACTCTAAAAATAAATTTATAGTCTCTGTTTATCTAACTTTTGTTTATTTGTATGTCCGATCATAACTCAGGAACCCCGGGACTTATATTTTGATCCTAGTTTTTCTAGTTTTCAATGGTTTCCAAATTTGTTCTACCTTAGAAATGGGTAGCTAACGTCCAATGGAGAGGGTAAGTATTGAATAACAGCGTTCATCAAAGGTTGTACTCCGATATTCTTATAAGAGCTTCCCAGACATGTGACCAGAGCTCCTGACGAGGGGTTGAGCGCTATGCGACGTAATCCTTGGCGTAAATTCAGAGCGTCCACCAAATCATATCTTTCTGCCATAATAACTTCTTCAGCAAGCTGATTATCAAAATCACAAGACTCTTCAATCAGCTGTTCTCTTAACTGTAGAGCCTCCTTCCAAGAATTAAACATGGTGTTCTTCAGTTCGTTGGAATCCATCTTGGTAAAGATTTTGCCCTGGTCGGAGTTCTTGTTCCAGATAAACCCCGTCATATCCACCAGGTCTATTATACCCAACAGATCTTTACCCCGTCCCAGAGGCATCTGGGTCAGCAGTGGTTTAACATTTAACCTAGATCAGGGTTACTTAATAATCTAAACTTATTTTGCAGAAAAAAATGTTAAGGAATAAGAAGTGGAATAGAACCTAAAAAAGGTTAAATAGAAATTAATTCGCACATATATTGTCAACGATCGTGATGTCTCGAAATTCCTGACCTTTTTTTAATTGAGTTCAGGGTTCTTGTGACGTCTCCTCCTGGTTTATCGAGTTTATTAATATATGCAATTCTAGAGATATTGTTCCTGTTCGCCTGCCTCCAGACTGTCAATGTCTGAGCTTGAACACCAGCTGATCCATCAAGAATTAGAATACCTCCGTCTTTCACTTTCAAGTAAACTTTATTATTTATACAGAATAAATAAAAACTATACTTTAAATGAGAAATGATTTGTAAAAATCCAGGGGGGGGTACACCCCCCCCTAATTTCACTCAGGGGGGGGTAATGGACTGCCACCCCCCCCTTGAAACCGCCTATGCCTGTGGGGAATCATGAAAGAATAGATCTAAACTTGTAGGAGTTCAGTAATTTAATGATTTAAAAATAGCTTTTAAGCCATAAACGATAAAAAAGCTGACAGTATGAACATAACATTTCACAAAATGAAAAAAAATATATTTAAAGAACTCTGTTAATGGCCTTTCCAGGTTTAAATATTAAACAATTATTTAATCTTTTTATTGATATTTTAATTAGGATTGTAAAATTTAATGAAAACTTCATTAGAAGTGATTTGTTGATTGAAATGACGTAAATTTTTATACCTTTCCACCTCCATGGTGAAATCAACATGTCCTGGTGTATCTATTAGATTAATCTGATGATTATGCCAAGGAAGAGTAATAGCAGCAGATGTAATAGTGATCCCTCGATCCCTCTCTTGATCCATATAATCCATAACAGTATCTCCAGTGTGAACCTAAAAGGGGTTGTAAAACAGGTCATCAAAGTATCCAAAAAGCTTTCACACGATTTTTTAAAGAAAAATTTGATTGTCAATTAATAAATATGCATTATGCATTGTCCATTAAAATATTCAGAGGATTTTCTTGATTTTAAGGGGTATTAATTCTGGGGAAATAACCGATATTTTTTTACAGAAATTCCCAGATTATTTATATTATGAGTCTAAAATTGCAAATGCAGGGGTATATTTTCACCATTGAATTAAAGTATGTTTCTTGTATCATTTCTATTAGAAATGTTCTACTTCATACTAATTCAATTTAATATTTAATAAATATTCATTATTCATTAATCAGAATAATTATCAAAAGAGTTCAGAAAGTAACTAACCTCTCCAACCCTTGATATGAATCCGCTGTAGAAAAGCATTCTCTCAGTAGTTGTCGTCTTCCCAGCATCAATATGCGCCATTATACCAATATTTCGTATTTTACTACTGTCACAACAAATTTGAGACGAAAAAAATGTTCTAATGGAAAATCTGTGAGGATATTCCTTGATGATTTTAAACATTTTTAATCGCATTTTAATCATCTTCATTCAGTCCACCTAGTTACAAGATATTTATTATGTGAAATAGAAAACTTCATCATTGAAAATAATTTTATAATTTTATTTAACTATCTAACATCTTGCCTAAGAAACAATCCGTCTGAAACCCAGTTTCCGTTTTCAAGATTTCCCCTCCGATCTCCCGATCTAGAATCTGTAAACAAATGAAACTTATTTCCAAAGGAAAACATTTTTAGTAGTCATTGAATCGCTTCGGTAAGAATATGTATACAAAGGAATGGTTATTAATATAATAAAGCTCTTTGCTCATTTATATAGGCTGACATTTTTTTATGAAACCCATGGGAACCACAAAATGCCTTATTTTTTCAAAATTAGATTTTATATATAAAGATAGCTCTCCAAACTTCAGGACCAAGTTGACTGTTTTTTGGGGGGAACCCATGGGTATCCTCGGAGGTTACATATGCTAATAAAATATTTTAAATTCAACATTTTTCTTCCTCAAAATTCAATTTAAGAAATGAATTCCACAGGCAACGCTGTGCACTTGAACACGGAAGAAAATAAAGTTCTATTATCCTGATGTAATGAGTCTCCAGTGTGTGCGTAGACCCAACTATTTCCTCTGTTCGGGGACAAAGAGGAATCTTTCGGAACAAAATCAAACCTAAAAATAGGGAGATAAAAATGTATACTATTATTCTTATATTTATCTCACAGAAAGGTTATAAAAAATATGTCATTTTACCCGTTAATTCTTGACATTGATTTTTTTGCACATACCTCTGAGGACCACTGATGGGAGAAGAGAGCCAGATTTGCTTGTTTGGAGTTTGTTTATTGATAACGTAGACTCCGTAATCTCCTCCCAGATTTATAGTCAGCACACCGTGAGCTAGAAACAAAAAATTAAAATTTTGTTGACAAATTTTAAAGTATTTTTTTCTGTGTTTTTTTTTTACTGCAACGACTTTAAAGATTATACTTCTATCAATTGTCAGTACAGGATTTAAGTAAAAAACTTTATAAAGTTATTGAAAAAATATCTTTAATTTTGAAGGACTTTTATGAACAAATAAATATTTTGCTTTGCTTTATGAATTTGACTGTATTCAATTCAACATAATTATAAACAGTAAAGACTAGGATTATATATCAATCAATTATTAAAGATCTGAAACCGGAAACAGAACCTCCAGATCCCTTGCAGGGCGTGGCGCTACACCAAGCACCTCTTCTCCTATCAAAACTGGTTTCGATTATGTTGAGCTTGCATGCCTAATGCCTATTGCCTAGTTATATTTTCTTATGCCATTTACCATGACGGCTGAAAAGAAAACAGAATATCTACATTTTAAAATAAAACCAGAAAAAAAGATGAAAAAAATCTTACACAGAGTGGCATCAGCTCCGGCTAACTCGGAATGGTTTTCGATGATTTCACTAAACTTGTCTCCGAGGCTCTCTAAGGTCTCATTTACTGCAATACATTAGTTAAAATCATCATAATTAAATGTTGGACAATAAAAATAAATATAAAAATATTTTTCTTGCTTAATCTTTCTTTAAATGACAAATTTATCCAACTTGAAGTAAGAAGACTAAAGGTTGACCCTGCTACATGGTTCAATACTGTTGGAGAAAATGTTTCCCGATTAACAAGGAATACTGCCTATGAGATGAGGAAGATCTTTTATCAAATCGATCAAATACAGACCAGCGGAAAATAGAATTATACCGGTTTGGAATGCACTGCCAACGGAACTAAAAAACTCAAGAAATGTCAAGATATTAAGACAGGACTCGAGAAAATAACATTTTAAATCTGTAACAGGAAACAGTGTAACGAAGGATGATACGTCCCACTGTTCCGTCTAGAAACATCAAGAAATTGGCCTTATGAACCCTTGGGTCTTCTGCAAGTTATTCTACAAGTATTCCAAGTAATTAAGTATGTAATATTCTGGTGCGATATCTTTCAAATGACCCTTAAACCTTACCTAATACAGTGTACTTCACTTCGTCAAGGTTCTCAGTAGAAAAGGTTCTGCGTGGTACTAAATAAAGTTGTTTGTTTATTTGTTATATTCGATATATATCTGCTTCTCAATCGTACACATTGAAAGAACAGTAAAATTGTCAGAAACACAAAATGCATTTACGGTATTGTAAAAAGATTTTGATAATCTCTAATTAACTAGCAGTTGAGATTTGTGTTTTCAGAGCAAAATTTTTTGGTTAATGTTTTACCCTTTCCGAATTTAGGAAGCCAACAGGTTGCGGATCCAACGGATCCAGATTCTAAGGACTGGTAAAAACCAACCTTTCACTAATGAGATGATTTGAGGTTGCCAACAGGGAGTCTGTAGTTTTGGAAGAGTTTGGAACCTATTGAATCCTTGGACAACTTGACTGGATCGTCTGCAAAATAAAATTAGTCTGAGATCGAAACTTTAGTAATATTGTTAATCTTAAATGATTGATCTCGATCTCTAATGTGGATCACGGGATATCAAGAAGGAATTATATTAATGCGTAGATCTCAGTAAGACGGAGATCAATGCTTGATCCTGAGATTTTCAACACAAAAGTTCTAACTTTTGTGTTAAGTATTAGTTTGAGGATTTTTTACCTTACAAGAGTTCGAATCATGTTTAGAACATTATTCTGGCTTGATCTGAAAAGAAGAGATTGTTTATTTACAAAAAATAAATACGTACTGCATGTATATTGTATATTCAACAAAAAATAAGAATGAATTTTAAAAATTCTAATCGCTTCATGAAAATGGAGGATGCCGATTTAAATGAGAATTTTTATTTCTGAAGCTTGAAAAAATTTAAAATTTAAAGGACAAAAGAAAGGAGAGGACAATTTTAGACTTGAGGACAAAAACGCTAGAGGTAATATTATACAATAAACCATGGATATCTCATGGTTAAACATATAATTTCAGCGTTGTACTTGTACAAGATTAATACATTGATGTAAAAATGAAAATGCGTAATGTAATTTACATAAATGGTAAATGATGAAAAAAATTTATTCGATCGGCGGTGTAGAGCCTCGACTACTGCCAGCTTTACTTCCAGGACGAACCTAGAAATAAAAATAAAAAGTATTTAAAACATCATTTCACAAGTTCAACTGTCTATAAAGAATTTTTTAAGGTTTTGAGAGGGGGGGGGGGTTATTAACTATTAACTATTAACTTAGAGAAAGAGGCAAAAACTTAAGAAATGGACAACTTAAAATTTGGTTACAAATCAAAAACCCTCCCTTTTACATTGATAAATGCCTACCTTCTTCCCCCTCCTCGTTTTATCCCTCCCGCTTCTTCCTCGACTTGGATTAGAACTCGTAGAGATTGTAGACTCAGCCGGACTAAAATATAAGATTGACTGTTTATGCCAACTCAACCAGATTAAAATATTAAAGGGACTGTTTATGCTGACTCAACTGGACTAAAATATTAAAGGGACTGTTTATGTCGACTTAACTAGAATAAAATATTAAAGGGACTGTTTATGCCGACTCAACCAGACTAAAATATTAAAGGGAATGTTAATGCCGACTCACCCAGACTAAAAAAATTAAAGGGACTGATTATGCCGACTCAGTCGGTCTAAAAAAAGGGACTGTTTATGCCGACTACTGTACTGAAGTATGAAAGGGACAGTTACTTAGTCTGAATAGCATATTAAATGGATTGTTTACATCGAACCAGCCTGAACAACAAACACATATTTTTCTTTACAAAATCACCCCCCCCCCACTCTTCAAAATTCATCCTCCTTTCAGGTTAAGTAGAATATCTGGTATAAAAAAAAATTATCAAAAAGGGCGGAAAATATTAGTCAGCTAATATCTAATTTTTCATTTTTACAAGGATATTTTTACGAAGAAAATATAAACCTGCTTGCATTGGAGAGCTGAGCCAAGCTTTCTCTGAGTGCTGCTGTATCCCCTTCACTCAATGAATCTATATCTACATGCTGATCATCAGACAACCATTTTAATCGAATCTAAAACGTCAATTGTTCACATTTCAACAGTAGGGTGTCTCAAAAAACATTAATTTTTTCAATATCAACATGTGGGCATTTTTTTCCATTCTCCCAGGTCCTTTGAGTCCAAATATAGCATTAAAAAGTTTGTGAGACATCAAACTTAGGTACACGTAAATTTTGAAATTTCACCAAATTCAATTTTCGCAAATATTTCAGCTGATCATTTCTTCTAAAATCTTTTTAATTGATAGACAGAGGGATATCATCCAGATCCACACTAGCTTTGTTACAGACTGCAGTCAACCAACTCATGAGCACTTAAACAAAGCATTATTTTTTTACTTAGAAGGTAAAGATGAACGTTGAAATGATTAACTTCATCTTCTTCCGAGGAAAACAAACTAACTTCTTCTGACTCAGCTCCAGAACTAACAACCAAAGCAAATGAAACTTCCAGTTCATTTCTGTCTGATCTATTTTAAGTGAATTTGATGATTGTTGAGCTCACACTTACAGTAGATGTAAGATATGTAAGTCAAGAAACACTGAAAATTACCCGAAATTCTCAAACATTCGAAATTCTCAGTTTTTACACGTTTTTTAACTTTAATAATTTATTTTAATTAAATTTTACAATATTTTTAAATTTTAATATGATATCAGATGGAAACATTTTGAGACTTCTATATTTCTTGTTTTTATCCTTTCTTCTTGATCTTCCATTCCTTGTCCATCCTTCAATCACACTATGGCTAATTTTGAAAATAAAAATAAATGAATTTTTTGGATGTTTTCTGCAGCTAGCCAAACTACATAGGTAGAACTATTTTTTGAAGCCCTGTATCTATATTCTATATATTAAGAGTGGCAAGGTTACTCTTCCCCTTCTTTATATTTAAATTTTGCTTCAGTCATGATACTGTGTCGAGTCAGCTCCTGCATTCCTAGCTTTTCTTGGAGGGGGAGAGGGGTGAGGGGGACTTTTTACACATTTTTTTTACATGTATTTAAGTTAGTTGTCTCTCAGACTGTTTATTACTTTATTTGGACTCAGGGAACCTAGGAGAATGGGAAAAACCTGCCCAAATAAAAAGTTTTGTTTTTTGAAGGACCAAGAAATTTTAAAACTTTTTGAATAAATATTTATTTAGAAAATAAAACAGAACACACAATTTTGTTGTGTGAAATTTCGATCTTAAAAAATAAATGCAAGATCCCTACTTTAAAGATTTCAATGTCTGAATGCTATGACTGTTCTCTCAAAATAATCAAATTACATCGTTAGATGAACAAAGAAGGATTGTATAGGTGATAAATTGTATTCAGTAATTTTACTCTCTTACCTCTCTACGTTGTTGATCTGTGTGAGCAGGACATTTAGTAGAACGGGTACAAACCTTCCCGTTATACCCAGATGCTCCGCATATGGAAACAAGCAGTTGTCTAAAATTAATTATAACTTAAAGTCTGCAAGAGTATATGCAAATTGGCCTTTATTTACAAAAACAAAATTTAAGGTAAGTCGGTACCTTCGTTCTTCTGGAGATAGTTGATCGTAGGACTGGGGTGGAGTGACTAAACCATCGGCATTCTCACCGCTTCCCTTGAACCGTAACGGTTTATTCCTGATATTATGATTAGCTGCAGAGTAATAAAATAGTTATAATAGAAGGCATTTTGAAAAATGCTTCACCTCAAGTCAACTTTTACGATAAGCCAAATAAATTTAGACGACCATTTCAGGTTGCCCAGTAAAATAGTAAAATTCTGTATTCTTAAATATAAAAATTTACCGTCTCGGAGAATTTTTATCCCTTTTTCTGTTTTTGTTATTAAGTTTCCCAGGTTCAATCCAATCCTCATCACCGTCACCTTCCTCCCCCTCCTCCTCAACATCCCTAGAAGATATTTCAACATCACACTCAGTTTGAAGCGGAATGAAAGTCGTCTTTATAAGTTATTTGATAAGAAATGTAATAAAGGATTTTGTAAATTCAATGTTTTATAACTTTGAAAATATGTATTTAACATTTTCAGTCACAAATTACAGTTACAATTACAAGTCAATTGCAATTATAACTACTTGTCAAGGTTAAAAATCTAAAAAATTTCTAATTATAACGAAGAAAAAAGACGACTTTATACTAAACTAGCAGGAGTGCCATGCGTTGCCCGTAAAATGAAAAAAAAATTTAAAAGTTAAAAGGTTCCCTTAAACAAAATTCAGCCACTTTGGTCTAGAAGTTTAACCAGTTTTACTGCAGCTGAGATATAAATATATGTTATATATATATGAGCGAAGAGCTTTATTATACAGAAAAGAAGCAAAAGTAAGAACTAACACCCACAGGTTAATCTAGCAAAAAGGGAAAGTTAAACAATTTAATTTAAAAACACTCATTAAGATGCATCTTATATGAAAAAAACTTCTTTGAAATTGTAGTTGTAAATGAGTTTAAATTAGAGGGGGGGGGGGGGGTTCCGAAATTAAATATATATATACCCCTAAATCTAGCTTACCTGTAACTTTCTTTGTTACTAGTCGCAAGTCTTCTGCTTGCCAGCCTACTACTGTTCCTTCCCATACCCATACATTTTTCAAGATGCGGAGCAAACCTAGAGATAGACACATTTAATCCTAGGAACACAGTTCAGAATTAAAGATCCCGCCAGTTGCGTCAGAAAATCAGAGCTGGGAACTCTTGTATTTTGGATTTACATATCAATGCTTTGTCTATCTTTGTTTATCTACAGATTACTTTAATCTTAACTCGATATCCCGTAGTGTAAATGTGCCTTAGAGGAAAAACTGAAATTAAGAGGTTAAATTAAAATCAAGGTCTAGGATATTGAGAGCAAACGATCGGAAATTGGAATATCACAAACAAAAGTTCCTGGCTCAGTTTAGTTTAGAAAGTTTCTTGGTGTTTAAATCAAATCATTCTTTTCAAGGATTGCTTGAGGCATCCTTTCTATTAGATGGAATTTAAACATTATCAAGATTAAATTATGCATAGATATTAGATATTTTAAACCTGTTTCGTATTTTCAACATGAGAAAACAAGCGCTAAGCAAACAATTAGTAAAACAAACCTGCTGGCAGCCAGCTGTCTCTTACAGTTTGGACATTCGATTTGTGGAACAGTTTTCAAGCTTGGTAAACCTTAATTCAAAATTTGCTAAACAAGGTGAAATGTTTTAACCAAACCAAAAAATAATTAAAATAATAAAGAAAGAACTAACGAAAATATTAAGATTATTAAGCAATGGATAAAGTACCAAGAGGAAAAATACTATGAAAGTAACAATTTAAGGGGAGGGGTTCATTTTGTATGTCTGTTTGCATCCAATAAACGTCAAAACGGCTGAGCCAATAGGACCCAATCTTTTTTGTGGAAACTCACATGAGTCCGAGTTGAACAATTTTCTCCAGAATTAAATGTAGACATTTATTATATTTGAAAATACTCCAATATAAACATAAATATCCTAGAAATTTTGAGAATTAAAATTTCAAAGAAAAAATGGGAGCTTGAAGAACAACATTTTTCAAATTGACGCTTGACCTGCTAAATATAATGAGGAATCACTGACCTGCTAAATGTATTGGGGAATCACTGACCTGCTATAGATATTGGGGAATCACTGACCTGCTATAGATATTGGGGAATCACTGACCTGCTATAGATATTGGGGAATCACTGACCTGCTAAATATAATGAGCAATCACTGACCTGCTAAATATAATGAGGAATCACTGACCTGCTATAGATATTGGGGAATCACTGACCTGCTATAGATATTGGGGAATCACTGACCTGCTATAGATATTGGGGAATCACTGACCTGCTAAATATAATGAGCAATCACTGACCTGCTAAATATAATGAGGAATCACTAACCTGCTAAATATAATGAGGAATCACTGACCTGCTATAGATATTGGGGAATCACTGACCTGCTAAATATAATGAGAAATCACTGACCTGCTATAGATATTGGGGAATCACTGTCCTCATCCGACTCGATAACTTCAAATATACCAGACTTCACATTCAAGTGCATTTCAAAACATACCTTTAAATTAAGCTAATCACATAAAAAAGTAGAAAAAAGCATTCAAATATTACTGATGTCCAAGTCGTTTCAAACCAGGTCATATCATACCATACAATATTTAACTTAAATCAGTGTTCTAACAAATTCTCTTTTATTTTCTTTTTTCAGCTCAAGCTTTATCTTCGATTAAAAATCCGTCATAATAAAACGTATTTTTAATAAAATATTTCCATTTTTAATAAAATTGAGGATTTTTTTCAGTATCAATTAGAAGAACTTTACACTGGTCAGTGAAAACGAGTATAACCAATAACCATGCCCAAGTTCATCATCATCTAAACTAATCATTTAAAAAATAAAATCGGCTAGAGAAAAAAGAAAATGGATTACCCCGAGAATGATCTCTTCCAGCATTGTATCATATATATCCTCTGCAGCCCTTTTGATCAGGTGAGGATCTTTCTATAATAAAATTTTACCAAATGAATAACAGATATTTTTCTCTCTTGACATTTTGTAAGAAACATTTGGTTAGAAATGAACTTGAAATAAAGGTCCCTGCTTACCAATAATAGTTTTTGTCAAATAGCAAGCTTATGTAAGGTGTTTGTCAAAAGATTTTGCGGCGAGTGGTGTAGGACTTTTCCATTTATGGCAGATTTGATGTAATAAGATATCATTTTTGGGATATTTGATGGTTTAGATACTGTTTGTGGCAGATTTGATGTAATAAGATATTATTTGTAGCAGATTTGATGGACTAAAATACTATTTTTGGCAGATTTGATGGACTACTATACCATTTGTGAAGGATTTGATGAACTAAGATACTACTTTTAAAGGATTTGATGGATTAAAATACTATTACGGCAGATTTGATGGACTTAAGATAACTACTTGCGAAGGATTTTCTGGGCTTACATACTGTTTGTGAAGGATTATAGGGTTCAGCTTCTATTTGTGAAGAACTTTATGGTTTAGATACTAGTTGTGAAGATTGATGTAGCATATTCGAAGGACTATGTTATACTGCTTGAGACAAATTTGAAGGACTAAGATATTGGTTGTGACAAATTTGAGACTTTTGATACTATTTGTGAAGGTTTTGGAGGACTATTTGTGAAGAATTCTATGGCCGTAAATGCTATTGTGAAAAAATTTATATATGTAAGAATATGGCAGTTTCTGTACAATCTTAACCAAAATTAATACTAGATAAAGCCCTGGCTTATGTTATTAATGCTTTTTAATTGAAAATTGTGGTAAAATTATCAATACTTGCTAAAATTTCAGAAATAAGAGATTTTAAAATGTCAAATTTCTGATGTTTGATAAACCTTTGAGCCCTTTTATCAGCACGTCGTTTTTATGTTTTAATCAGTAAAATGAACAAACTTTGGGTCTGTCCTAGAGAACGATTATTCTAAAATTCAAAATTTTCCCTTAAAATGAAATTGGGATTCTAAAATTCAAAATTTTCCCTTAAAATGAAATTGGGATTCTAAAATTCAAAATTTGCCCTTAAAATAAAATTGGGATTCTAAAATTCAAAATTTGCCCTTAAAATGAAATTGGGATTCTAAAATTCAAAATTTGGCCTTAAAATGAAATTGGGATTCTAAAATTCAAAATTTGGCCTTAAAATGAAATTGTGGTTTAAAAAGACATAAAATCGTGGAATGTAGATTTTTGGTTAAATGCCAACATTTGTTTTTATAAACTTTGGTAAATTGGAATGCATTTCATATATCACAGGTGGTGTTGGTAATAGAAGAATGGTACATACAGAGGTGTGTACAATGTACACTGTACAAGCGTTCACAGGAGTACAAAAGTACATTGGTACAATATAAAAATTTTAAAACTATGAATAATGAAATAACATTTGTATCCACAAATTGAAGTTAATATTTAGTCTTTTTATTGGATTTGATTTTTAATGTTCATATTTACAGTAACTACTAAATAAACAGCTGATTTTCTGTTTTCCTGCTTAATCAATTTAATTTGTTAAAAAATATTTAGTTTATGAGCTTCAAAAATGAAATTAATATTCGCTAAACAAAATATCGGGGTGAGTCATCCTTCCTTCAACCAAGGTATTAACTTTTAGGTTGATTTCTAACAATATTTCCCTTTGTCAAATCTCTCTACAGTCTACAGTGAGATACACATAAAGTTGTTTTTTTTGATTCAAAATGTTCTTTTTTTACAGCTGACAAGAAGATAGATTCGACTAGTAAACGTTTCTACTACTCCAGGGTGTCATAAATAATCTTTTTATAAATCTTTGGTCGGATCCTCCCATTTCTTGAGCTGCTCTGTGTTTATATTCTCTACAATCCATTTCTGAGTTTTAGAGCTTCTATCACATTTTGATACATACAGCTCCTAAAAATTATCATTTTAATCTTCTACTCTTTTCAATTTGCATTAGTACAGTATTCAATGGTAGATTGCAGACTGCTAACAAAACAAAAGTACTGCCTTAAGAACGAATAAGAAAAAAACCCTTACAAGTTAATTAGTGTTGGTAAACATGTAATGAATACATAATTTAATACATATTTGTAAGTTTTAAAAGAATCAGGGAAAAAACTCTCAAACTTTAAGAATTAGATAAAAAGAAGAAAAATAAAAGAAGGGTTTTATACATTTGTTAAAATATATTTATATTAAAAATCAAACAAAAATAAACCTGTGTTAATAAAGTATTAATATCTGGAAAACAAATACCTTGGTTTCAGGGTTTCCATCTAGACAACGAGGATTCCCTCCATGAACAATCCATTGTTCTTCCTGGTTATAGCTCCAACCTTGGTTTCCACCCTAAAATATCAATTAATTAATAATTTGAAATTACCCACCCATCTTTTATCCATCCATATCCCATATTCCATTAACCCTATAAAGGCTGGGGGTCTAAATCTATGTATAGCCCCCATCCCCTAAAAAAGGCCTTAGAGAATAGGCATAGGATTGAACAGCATGTTTATAAAACATAGGCCAAATTTTGAAGGCCAGCTCATTGAAAAAAAATTATACCTATAATTTAATCGTTTGGGTGGTAGGGAAAGTCAAAAAAAAAGAAAAAAATATTTTTTTTATTGTTTATAAACAAATATCAAAATGTGACACATGTTTCTACATCCATTTTTCAAGGACTTTTCGAAAATATAGTTAAGTTATTTTGCTTTAGTCACAAAAAAGTTATGGGCTATACTTTAGATTAGTTTCTTCAAAGACCGGACTTTTCCCGCCCTGTACCCAACCCTATGCATCAAAAAAAATATTTTTTACAAAAAATCCTTAAAATTTTTACCTATTAAGTCAAAAAATTTCACGATGATAGTGTTAAAAAAACTACAAAAAAACTACAGGGAGCGCGCCAAACGTCCCCCCCCCTTCCCAACATGTTTAGAGTTACCTATCCAATAATAAGAAAATAAAAATTGATCTGTGTTGATTGAAGTGTATATATTTTGCTGCGCCGCGGAGAAAAACAATTAAAAAAGCTTTTTTTCATTTGGGTTACACTAAGGAAAAAAACGAACCAAACAGAGGATATTCACGATTTGAAACAAGGTCACCACTCACCAGTGAAATCTCAACATATAAAATGAGTTTCTCGCAACATGGGCTTCCGATGAATCTACCTGAGTATGACAATCATAGAGTAGAACCGGGGACCGAGCCTCGTAACTAGAAACATCCCAGCATATCTTCTTCCTATTGCTCGGTCGGATATCCTAAAACAAATCCGTCCATAATGTGTTAAATATTAGGGATGTTAACAGCAAATTTTGAACGTATCAGGGGAGTATATTTTTTTATTCTTTTTGATTACTTCCCACTAAAAACATTTTTGCTCAACTAATCATTTATCATTAAAATTCAGCGAAAAAAAGAACCTTAATACCAAACTTTTAGGAAAAAAATATTTTCTAAAAACCCCTCCAGGCACGAATTCAAATCACAAAAAATATTTACTTTTTTAAAATCTTTTTTACCTTTCTCCAGGTAAGGGAGAACTTCTGTTCTCCACCGGTCCCCTTGGAACACGGTTCAAATCCTATTCTTTCATTGGCTCGGACAAACTTAGAGTCAACACAGTATTCAGGATTCTCTTTAGATCTAGAAAATAGTGATATTTGCTATTACTTGGGTGGGATTATTTTATATTATATAATAATAATAATCATATTAAATATTGAATCTGATCCATGATCCAGTATTTATTGTCTAAACCTGATCCAACCCGGGGATTCAAATCAACCTCCTCATCAAATACCTTTGTAGAATTCAGAATAAGAGCATGAACGAGTACGTTTAGTGAGCATGGTTCGGGCACAAATTGACTCACACTGCTTCAAGAACCAAACAGATTTCAAGGAAATGACCCTGGAGCAATATTAAGGACATGAACCATTGAACGAGTTAGTTTAGTTAATTTAACTTCAATCAAATCAAGTATAGTTCATGCACAAGTTGACTAAAATTGGTTGATGAACCCACAGATGTCAAAGAACTGACCCTAGCCTTAAATTTCAGAACCCTTAATCCCAACTTAACTGGACTAACCTGAATTCTCCTCCTATAAAGTCGGCAGGTTCTACTGGAGGATAATGTTTGTAAAGGTCAAATGCAACTTCCTAAACATTAGAAATATTTAAACCAAGAGTTTATATTTTCTGGGACCGAATGTAATGAATTGAGCCATGTAGCGTAACTACATACCGCCGGTTCAAATCCTGGATCCCCTATTCAAAGTTAAAGATTCTTGATGATTTGAATTGGTGATACAGTATTTAAACCGGACGGTACGTAGTTTAGCGACCTTTCCAATTCATTAAACTCGGTCCCTGGAAACAATTAATCTTATACAAATCTATTTGAAATAAACACAAAAAAAGAATTTTAAATTGAAATGATTTCGAATCGGAGATGTTTCTACAAGACAAATTAATTCTCAAAGACCAGTCTTACCTGCATAAACCATTTAAAAGGTTTGCATTGCAGTTTTTCTCTGAGTGCAATCTGTTCTGAAATATCTCCGGGGTCTATATTCCTAGAATAGAAAATATTTTCAAAGAAAACTAACACAAAAAAAATCAATTCTTTCTTAAAAAAAACAAACAAAAAAAACATGTCTCTACCTGTAATGAGGTCGATGCTGATACACATACTCTGCATACTCATCCATCCACACTGCTGCCACGCGCTTATAGTTCCTGAACAAAAAAAATCAAAACAAAAATCTGATTTTTGACTGATCACTCTGTATTAGTTATTTTTGTTCAAGTTTTCATTTAAATAACACATTTACGTACCTTCCTAAATAGTCTCCTCTTCCTGCCCCGCCAAAAGGGGAGTATTTTCTAAACAAAATGAAATTACAAAAAATTGACGGTAAAAAATGCCGCCACTCGGAAGATTATTGGATAATATGAAAACTGAAATCGTGATTGATTGATTGATTGGTAATTATAAAACGTATTTCTATATACTATTTGGCAAGTACCTTGAACCGCAGGGAATTCCAATAAATATCACTAAAGTCTCATGGAACTTCCATTTGTAAATTTTAAACTTCATTTGTCGGAAAACCCGGTTGTTGCAATGGAATTTTGTTTTGCGAAAAAAACTTTTTTCTAACATTGTTCATCATGTTTCCCAAGATACAAATGGAAAGAACAAACTTAATCTGCTTATCTTCGAGGACTTAAAGGGAGTGACCGGCTATGTAAGGTAGTTGAACTGAGTAGTGAGTATGCAGTGTCGTGGACAAAGTCTTTAGGATTCATTTGAGACATATAAAACTTTTTAAAGATCTGTAAGTCCTGAGTTTGAGCGCAAAGTCGACTTCAAAATCGTACTTTTGGGTGGATACATTTTCAGAATCCGTTTTTAAAGATACAGGGTGGCCAAAACTTTTTTGACCAAATCCGTACAAAAATCCGTACATTTTCAGAAGAAATCCGTACAATCCGTACAATTTTTTTTTAAAAAATCCGTACAATCCGTACATTTTTTAAACCAATCCGTACATTTTTTTAAAAATCCGTACATTTTTTTTAAAAATCTGTACAATCAGTACAATTTTCGAAAAAAATTCCATTTTTGAAAAAAAAACATTCAAATTCAATTTTTCATTCATTGTCCTTTGTGTTCAGTTCATGTAAGAGGGTTTAAACTTCTTCAGCAAGAATCAATCTGTAAAAAATTGGCTTCATACATATATACAAACTAAATACTGGGTACATGATACTAGGTGCATGATACTGGATACTGGATACATGATACAGGGTACATGATACAGGATACAGGATAC